ATACAAAAAATTTCATGTTATGGGCGTCGGAAAGTGAATGCACAAAAATTTCCTCAAAGTGGAAAAAGTTGAGTACACACTTATTTTTGCCGATATCTCAAGAATTTTGGTAAGATACCTCAGAACACACAATAGCAATTCGGTAGAGAAGATATTCCTCTTCCAAAATCAATTTATTTCATGAAAATCCACCCACTATTTCAAAAGTTATGGTCCTTTAAATATGTGAAAGCAGAAAATTCCCATTTAGGAAAATTTGAGTACATATTTTATTTGGGCGATATTTTGAGAATTTTACAAGGTACGTGAACACACCTAATAAAAGTTTTGAAGCTGAGACATTACTCTGTCAATATCTAATCGACATAATGGGGATAAAGTAGCGAGTTGACAAGTTATGGGCGTCGGAAGTTGAATGCGCAAAAAATTCCTTAAAGTGGAAAAATTGGGTACACAACTATTTTTGCAAATATCTCAAGAATTTTGGTAAGGTACCTCAAAACGCCTAATAGTAATTTTATTAACAAGATATTCCTCTTCCAAAATCAATTTATTTTATCAAAATCCACCCACTAATTAAAAAGTTATGGTCCCTTGAATGTGTGAACGCAAAAAATCCCCTTCATAGGAAAATTTAAGAACATTTTTATTTCGGCGGTATCATGAGAATATCAATGGCTACATGAACACACCTAATAACAATTTTGAAGCTGAATCATTGCTCTTTCAATATCTAATCGACATAATGGGGATATAGTAGTGTGTTGACAAGTTATGGGCGTCGGAAGTTGAATGCGCAAAAAATTCCCCAAAGTGGAAAAATTGTGTACACACTTATTTTTGCCGATATCTCAAAAATTTTGGTCAGATATCTCAAAACACATAATAACGATTCGGTAGACCAGATATTTCTCTTCCAAAATCAATTTATTTGATTGAAATCCATTTACTATTTCAAAAGTTATGGCCCTTTAAATATGTGAAAGCAGAAAATTCCCATTTAGGAAAATTTGAGTACATGTTTTATTTGTGCAATATTTTGAGAATTTTACTAGGTACGTGAACACACCTAATAATAATTTTGAAGCTGAGACATTGCTCTTTCAGCATCTAATCGACATAACGGAGATATAGTAGTGGGTTGACAAGTTATGGGCATCGGAAGTTGAATGCGCACAAAATGCCCTCAAAGTGGAAAAATTCGGTACACAACTATTTTTGCCAATATCTCAAGAATTTTGGTTAGATACCTCAAAATGTACAATAGCAGTTCGGTAGATAAGATATTTATCTTCCAAAATCTATCTATTTCATTAAAATCCATCAACTATTTCAAAATTTATGCTCCCTCGAATGTGTGAACGAAAAAATTCCCAACATAGAACAATTTGGGAATATTTTTTTATTTGGGCGATATCTTGAGAATTTCAATGGGGTACGTGAACACACCTAATAATAATTTTGAAGCTGTGGAGCTCTTCTATAAGAATATAATAGGTTTTATTGTTGGACAATAAAAACATTCCATGGTATGGTCGTCGGAAGTTGAATGCGCAAAAAATTTCCTCAAGTTGGAAAAGTTGGGTACACAACTATTTTTGCCAATATCTCAAGAATTTTGGTTAGATACCTCAAAACACACAATAGCAGTTCGGTAGAGAAGATATTTCTCTTCCTAAATCTATTTATTTCTTCAAAATCCGCCCACTATTTTAAAAGTTATGATCCCTCGAATGTGTAAACGGAAAAAATTCCAGCATAGAACTATTTGATAACATTTTCTATTTGGGCGATATCTTGAGAATTTCAATGGGTACGTGAACACACCTAATAACAATTTTAAAGCTAAGAAGTTGCTCTTTAAGAATATAATAGATTTTAATGTTGGGCGTTAAAAAAATTCCATGTTATGCCCATCGGAAAGTGACTACGCAAAAATTTCCTCAAAGTGTAAAAATTGGGTACCCAAATATTTTTGCCAATATCTCAAGATTTCCAATGAGCTGTTACCTTAATTGGTTTCCCATGACTGCCATAATTTTATAATATCTACATTTTTTGTATACATCTTATTAATTTCAACACACAATATTTAATTATTAAAAAAAAAACTATTTACTAACTAATTTCCTTATAGTCTGGAAAAAACTGTTCCACTTTCTCTTCCTTGTTTTTTTATTTTTTTAGCTCTAAGTTTCGAATATTAATAATAAAAATCAGCAACAAGGCTAACACCTGTATTTAAGTTTCCGATAATAAATATTTTTGGTACCCCATAGATAATCTTCTAACAGTCAGACATGATGACGCAGTCTGTGGTTTGTATTGAAATTTCATGTTCTTTGAGAAACTCCGCAGATAAAAAGCGAAAATAAGCTAATGAACAAATTATATGGCTTACAGACATCCGTTGCGAAAAGAAGAAGCTGAAGTGATGCTTAAAAAAATCAAAATATTTTTTTTTGGGGTTTTGGTTTGGATAGATTTGGTACAGTTAAAGAAAATCCGATATGTGTGTGTGTGTGTTTGTCAGTGATGAAGTGTTAATGTTTGATTTTTAACTAGACCGCCTGGGGAATTTGGATATTAAAATATATAGCATGGATTAAAAAAATAGATTATCGATGATTAAGATATTTTGGGCACAGTAGGAAAAAAATTAAGTATGAGAAAAAATTAAAAAAAAAAATTAAAAAAAAATATATTTTTAAAATTGATAAAAAAAAATTAAAAATTGACAATTTTAACAAAAAAAATTTTAAATAAAAAAAAATATTTTTTTAATAACAACATTAATTTTTTTATTACAAAATTTTTTTTATTAAAAATTTTTAAATTGTTTAAATTAAAATATAAATTTTTTTAATACAAAATATATTTCTTGTAAATAATTTTTTGATTATTTTTTATATTTTTAAAAACCAAAAATTATATAGAAAAATTAAAAAATGTATTTTTTATATTTTTTTCATTTTAAAATACAAAAAAATATATTTTCTCTTAAATATTCACCAAAAGCCCTTAATGAATACGAAAGACTTAAGACACAAACTTCCTAGTGGCATTTCTTTACCCATAACAACGTAGGAAATTCGCTCTCTCTTTCTCTCTCTTATTTATGATTTCTCATTGAAATAACCGTAACTGCACTATGATAATACAAAAGACTTAAGACACAAACATGGAAATGCAATTTAATTAAAAAATTAGATTTTTTTGATAAAAAAAAATAATTTTTTAGACTTTTTAATGTAACAAAATTTTTAGAAAAAAATTAAAAATTTTTAAATAAAAAAATAAAAAAATTTAAATAAAAAAACTAAAAAATTTTAAATAAAAAAATTAAAAATTTTTAATAAAAAAAAATTAAAATTTTTTAATAAAAAAATTCAAAATTTTTAATAAAAAATTTAAATTTTTTTAATAAAAAAAAAATTATAAAATTAAAATTTTTTAATAAAAAAATTAAAATTTTTTAATAAAAATTTAAAATAAAAAATTTTAAATTTATGATTATACAAACGACTTAAGACACAACCATGCAAATGAAAATTAATTAAAAAATTAGATTTTTGATATAAAAATTATTTAGACTTTTTAATGTAAAAATAAATTTTTATAAAAAAATGTAATAAAAATATTAAAATTTGCAATAAAAAATTAACTTTTTTAATCAAAAATTAACTTTAATTAATTTTTAATGAAAAAATTTTAACTTTTTTTTAATTTAAATTAAAATTTTTAATCAAAAAATTAAATAATAAAAAATTAAAATTTTTTAATATAAATTTAAAATTTTTTAATATAAAATTAAATTTTTTTAATAAAAAATTAAAATTTTTAATTAAAAAATTAAAAATATTTAATTAAAAAATTAAAAATTTTTAATTAAAAAATTAAAAAATTAAAAATTTTTAATAACAAATTAAAATTTTTTAATAAAACAATTTTTTAATAAAAATTTAAAATTTTCTAATAAAAATTTAAAATTTTTGAATAAAAAATTTATATTTTTAACAAAAATAGTATTAAAAAAATACATTTTTTTATTAAAAAATTACATTTTTTTATTAAAAAATTACATTTTTTTATTAAAAAATTACATTTTTTTATTAAAAAATTAAAAAAATTAATTAAAAATTAAATTAAAATTAAAATTTTTTAATAAAAAATTACAATTTTTAATAAAAAATTAATTTTTTCCAATAAAATACTAAAACTTTTTAATAAAAAAAATAAAATTTTTAATAAAAAATTAAAATTGTTTAATAAAGAATTCAAATTTTGTAATAAAAAATTAATATTTTTCAATAAAAATAAAAAATAAATATAATTAAAAAAAAAATAAAATGAAAAAAAATTAGTAAAAATATTGAAATTAAAAGAAAATTATTAAAAAAATAAAAATTTTCTTATTTAAAAAAACTTTATATTTTTTAATAAAAAATTATTTAAAAAAATCAAAATTTTTAATTAAAAAATGTTAAATATTGTGAATTGCGTAAATTGGCAACACATATATTTATCTTATTTAGTGAACCCTATGTTGATCAATTACAATAAGCGGTATAAGTAATTAATGGTTATTTTGAATAGAGATGAAAATAGATACATGAGTAATCATTAGAATGAACTAGATTTAGAATTATCTAGAATAGAATTATCTGGAATAAGTTCAGAAGGAGATAAAAGAGGTTGTAACATAGAGAGATCGTCTCAGTTTATAAAGTTGCGCTCAGTTGTAAAGTATCGTGCTCTCAGTCTGTAAAGTATTGTCGTCTCAGTTGATAAGTTGAAGCTGTGTAAATAAAGTTTGTAAAACCCCCGAACATAAAACTGTGTTTTAATTACTGCTGTGGACATCGCCTTGGATCATTTTAAAAGGATAATTTCAACAAAAAAATTTAAACATTTAATGTAAAAAATATTTCTATTATTCTTTAACTGAATTAACATAAAAAAATATTAACTAAAAGAATATTTCAAAAAATCCAACTCACCTGTTCATCGATGGGACAGCCCCTGTCATCCAACAATTGCTGTGTCGACTCGCCCAAACCATCGAGGGCAGCACAATCGACAATTTTTAAACCCATTGTGCCGGGCACTACGGCACGTACCGTCAATGTTGTGGCCTGACCCACAACCACGGAACCGGACCCGTCTGGACCACCCAATTCAAGCCATATGCGAATACGGGGCGTCGATGAGGATGATGCAGCCGATGATACCTGATGATGATGGCTGGGATTTAAATGTTTGTGGTGGCGATGATTTGAGTCCATGTCATCAGTATCTGATTCTGATTCTTTAAATCCGGCCACATTTAATCGGTGCTTTATCAGTGTTGATTTGTTGAAATCGTCGTGGGTGCTGGGGGTGGATTGCATGCGACCGTGTCTATAATGGTGGGAATGATAAAAAATATATTTTTACAGTAAAATAATTTAAAAAATTTAATTAATTTATTTTTTATTAAAAAAAATAATATTTTTTTAATAAAAAAAATAATATTTTTTTTATTAAAAAAAATAATATTTTTTTAATAAAAAAATAATGTTTTTTATTAAAAAAAAATAATATTTTTTTAAGAAAAAAATATTTTTTAAAAAAAAGAATAATATTTTTTTATTAAAAAATTAATATTTTTTTATTAAAAATTATTAATTTTTTATTAATTTTTTAATAAAAAATTAATATTTTTTTAATTTTACCAATTTTTTTTAATAAAAATTTTATTGTTTTATAAAAAAATTATATTTAAAAAAAATTTGATAAATTTTTTTAATAAAAAATTAATACATAAAAAAATTATATTAAAAAAATATTAATTATACCCTACACAACTATGTTGTCAGGGTATTATAGCTTTGTGCAGCCCCAAATGTTTGTAACGCCGCGAAATATTGGTCCTAGACCCACCTTTAAGTATACCGATCGTCATATCTCGACTAGCTGAGTCGATCTAGACATGTGTGTCCGTCCGTCCGTCCGTCCGTCCGTCTGTCCATTATAATTTGTAAACACGATACAGGCCACAGTTATGGACCAATCTTCACGAAATTTTGCATGTAGGATGGGTTCTGGCCAATGAAGACCCCTATTGTTTTTGGAAAAGATCGGTTAATATTTAGGGGATGAAATGGACCAAATACTAAATTTTTGTCGGTTTTTTGGTCGCTCCAGAGGCCGCAATTATGGCCCAAACACCGCGAATTTTTGCATGGAGAAGGGGATCGGGCCAGAGAATAAGCATGCATGTTTTGATAAAGATCGGTCAATAAGCGGGTCAAATGGACCCTGACTTTTGTGTGAAAAATGACAAAATTTGTATTCTATGGCATATATATTTACTCCTGGAGGATGTAGACCCTAGGAGTTGATAACATATCCAAGAGGAGTGGTTGACCTTTAAATTGATACCAAATATAGTGATGTATCTACTCAGAAAGTCAAATATTTACATGTGCTTACGTATTCAGATATTATTTAGTAATCCATTACCACATTAAAGGGAGAAATATCGCGCTGATGGCTTTGAAATTTTTCATGAAGTTCCAGTTATGGTCAAGAACAACGCCTACAATTTTCGGTGATGATCAGATTAAAATTTTGGGATGAAATGGACCGAAAACATAATTTTTTGTGAGTTTTCGAGTAGAGTATAATCCGAAAATCACAACACACCCACCGTGAAGGTAATCTGGACAAGTAATTAGAAGGACTGTTCAAGAGGGGGCTGTACAAGAGGGGGCAAATATCAGGAAATATTACTCAGACTCGGAATAAACATCCTCAGAAAGTTAGAGTTCGTGGTAGTTGTGTAGGGTATCGTATGGTCGGCCCCGTCCGACTATACTGCTCCGCTCACTGGTTTTTTATTAAAAAAATTAATAAAAAATTAATAATTTTTAATAAAAAAAATTAATTTTTTAATAAAAAAAATTAATATAAAAAAAAATTGGTAAAACTAAAAAAATATTAATTTTTTATTAAAAAATTAATAAAAAATTAATAATTTTTAATAAAAAAATATTAATTTTTTAATAAAAAAATATTTTTTTTAATAAAAAAATATTTTTTTTAATAAAAAAATAATTAATAAAAAATTAATAATTTTTAATAAAAAAATATTAATTTTTTAATAAACAAATATTTTTTTTAATAAAAAAATAATGTTTTTTATTAAAAAAAATATTTTTTTATTAAAAAATTAATATTTTTTTATTAAAAATTATTAATTTTTTATTAATTTTTTAATAAAAAATTAATATTTTTTTAATTTTACCAATTTTTTTTAATATTAATTTTTTTTTATTAAAAAATTAATATTTTTTTATTAAAAATTATTAATTTTTTTATTAATTTTTTTAATAAAAAATTAATATTTTTTTAATTATAATTTTTTTTATGTATTAATTTTTTATTAAAAAAAATTACCAAATTTTTTTTAAATATTAATTTTTTTTATAAAAAATAAAAATTTTATTAATTTTTTAAAATTAAAAAAAATTATTATTTTTTTTTAATTTTTCTTTTTTACTTACCTATTACTGCTTCTAAATGTTTTCCCCTCCTCGCCCACCCCCTCACCATCCATCGCAAGATTCATACCCATGGCATTTTGTGGCAGCTTGCATTTAATCGTTCTCAAAATATCCGAACTTTGTCGCAGCTTCTCCTCCATTTGCATCATAACGCGAACGGACAGCTCCATCGAACCATCCGATCTGGGTTCCACTCTCACCCCACAACCCGATGTTGGTAATCTCAAAGTAATATTTCGTTCCGAAGTACCTCGTGCCCTACACTCCTGTGGAAAATCTTTTGCATAGAGCAGCCCGTGAAAGGGCGTATTCATTTCGATTTGCATTTCAAAAAAGCTACGCGAACAATTTGTCGTAACTTTGGTGATTTTATAACGATTTTTCGATAGGCGGGGGTTTTCGAATTTTTTTGGTGGAGAATTTTCTTCCTCTGGATAATTTTGATGGGTCTCGAAGTTGAGAGCCATATGGCCGGGGGTTGGTGGGGTAAGTAGAGTGGCTTCTGAGGCCGCCACCGGCATTTGTGGTGGCATATCGGTGTGTTGGAAAGCCTCTTCCGAGGCTACCCAACATATTTCGATGAAGGCGATTAAAAATAAACCGGAAAATTCACGCATATTTGCAATTTTTGTTGGCTTCCTCTTCTTCTACGACTTGTTTTGTTCTAATTCTGGCTTAATTGCTCAATTATTTTTTTTTCGTATTGCAGAATTTTTTTTCCAGGTTTATGAAGCCTATTTTTTAATTTTATTTTCTTTTCTTGGTTCTAAAATTTTGCAATTTTTTTTTTGCCTTAATTTTTTTTTACGCCAGAATTATTCACAAAAAGCCGTTGTTATCTAACTGTTGTTTTTTCTAATATTCTGGCTTAGCTTCTTTTCTTGTACTTCTTCTTGTTTTTTTCTCTTCTAAGTACTTCTTAATGGTGGTTAAACTTTAATGGAACTACTTGTCATTTCGTCACTTGTTTTTTTAATTTTTTATTTTTATTTCTTGCTTGATTGCATTCCGTCTACGGTTGGCTTGGCAAATTGTCTTTTCTGCTACTTGGCCCCACACACACAATTTTTTTCAAGCTCTTCTTCACTTGTCATAAGTGTGTCTTTTTTTCCAGCTGGCTTCTTTGTGGTCAATAAGCTGTAAGCGAAACAAATCAGAAACACATAAAATCAATGATTAATCGCATGGCATTAAATTTTTAAAGATAATTTCAAAATTTCAATTGATTAGTTACAAAGCTGGTTTTTCGAAAAAAAAAATTTTTTTTTGAAGAAAAAATTACATAAAATTTTTCAATATTTTTTTAAATTTTTTGAATTTTTTCATTCCAAAAAATATGATTAATTTTTTTATTAATATTTTTTTGCTAATGATTCCCACCCAAATTCAAATTTTTTTCACACGTTGTAATACTTGTGTTTGATTAATTATCAACAATTAATCACAAAATTACAAAACAACGTTTTTACAAGAAAAAAAAAAAATATTTTTTAGCAAAAAAAATTGTTACAAAATTTAGAGACATTTTAAAGATTATTTATTTATTTTTGTGTCTTTTTTGTTAATTTTTTTTTAATTTTGTTTTTTAAAAATAATTATTTTTAATTTAACAAATTTTTTTTATTAAATTTTTTTAATTGTTTTTTTTTCTTTTTTTTGAAAAAATCTTTTATAATAAATAAGAATGATTTTATTTTTAATATATTTATTTTTTTATTATTAAATTTTTTTAATTGTTTTTTTTTTTTTTTTGGAAAAATTTTCTTTTATAATTTTTTTTTCTCTAAATAAGAATTATTTTATTTTTAATATATTTATTTTTTTAATTTTTGTACCTTTTTGCAAAAAAAAATAAATTTTATATTTTCTTTTAAATTTTTATTTTTTTAATTTTTATTTTTTTAACATTTTTTTTCTATTTACAAAATACCCGCAAATATAATAAATGTTCATTTATTCCCCTTAAATTTCCCTTTAATTTTTGGAAAATATTTATTTTTTATAGTTTTTTAATTTTATTTATTTTTTTAATATTTTTTTCTTATTACAAAATACCCGAAAAAATAAAAAAATTCATTTATTCCCTTTAAATTCCATTATTTTTTAATTTAATTCACTCATTATAGGTTTGTTTCTTAAGTCTTTTGCTCTTAAATGGTCTGCCAATAAGAATAATATATCCCCCTCTCCCACTCTCTCACCCTCTCTCTCACTCTCTCTTTCTTTCATAGCACTATATAAACATCTTTGAATATTCTTATTGGGATTGGAAATTGCATTTGGTGCATGTGTCTTAAGTCTTTTTTCCAGCAAATATCAGCTAAACAACTATAAGCAGCTCTTACTATCTCTCTCTCCCTCTCTTCCACTCTGTCTCTCACCATTGTTTACATTGGTAACCCATATAGGAAGTTCGTTTCTTAAGTCTTTTAATATACAATTTTAAGGGTTTTAACAGGAAATTATGGGAAACAAATTATTTAAAAAAAAAAAAAATTTAGAAAAAAAAAATTTTCCCAAAAAAAAAAATTAAAAAAAAAATAAAGAAATTATTTAATTAATAAGAAAAAAATAATTAAATAGGAAAAAAAATAAGAAAAATATTAGTCGGCAAATTTGTCACTTTTTCGATTAGTGCCCAATTTTGGCCACAAAACTTCGTTTTAGCGGTTTGACGTTAATGGAAAAAATATTCTCCATCAAATTTCACTAGGGGTCACGGAACAAATGAAATCTGTAGCTATAATATATACCATAAAAAATACGGATATATTTTGGTATAAAAAAGAATGTTGGTCCATTTTGTTACTTGTTTCGATTAGTTGTCATTTTGGGCACAAAACTTCGTTTTAGCGGTTTGACGTTAATGGAAAAAAAATTCTCCATCAAATTTCACTATGGGTCACCGAACAAATGAAATCTGTAGCTGTAATATATACCATGAAAAAAATGTATATATATTTTGGTATAAAAATGTTTTGGTTCCCTTTTCGATTAGTGGTACCAATATCGGTCATAAAACACAATTTTAGCGGGTAAATACTAATGAAAGAAATATTCTTCATCAAATTTCACTATAGGTCACCGAACAAAAGAAATCTGTAGCTATTATATGTATCATAAAAAATCAGTATTTATTTTGGTATAAAAAATAATGTTGGTCATTTTAGCTTTTTTTCGATAAATGACCAATTTCGATTACAAAAAACAATTTTAGCGAATTGATGTCAACGACAAAAATATTCTCCATCAAATTGCACTATGGTTCACCGAACAAATGAAATCTGTAGCTGTAACACATACCATGAAAAAATGTATATATATTTTGGTATAAAAATGTTTTGGTTTATTTTGGTTCCTTTTTCGATTGGTGGCCAATTTCGGCTACAAAACATCATTTAAGCGGGAAGTTGATAATGAATGAAATATTCTCCATCGAATTTCACTAGGGGTCACCGAACAAATGAAATCCGTAACTATCATATATACCATGAAAAAATCCGTATATATTTTGGTAGAAAAAATATTGTGAGCAATTTTGCTCCTTTTTCGATAAATGACCATTTTTGTCCACTAAACTTCATTTTAGCTGATTGAAAGCAATCAAAAAAATATTCTACATCAAATTTCACTATGGGTCACCGAACACAAGAAGTCTGTAACTTTAATATATACCTTAAAAAATCTGGATATATTTTGGTATAAAAAATTATTTGGTAATTTTTGCGTTTTTTCGATAAATGATCAATTTTGTCTACCAAACTTAATTTTAGCTACTTGATAGCAATAGAAGAAATATTCCCTATCAAATTTCACTATGGGTCACCGAACAAATGAAATCTGTAACTTTTATATATACCATAAAAATATATATTTAGGTATACGAAATAATTTTGTCATTTTTGGGTTTTTTTCGATAAATGACCAATTTTGTCTAGTAAACTTTATTTTAGCGGGTTGAAGTCAATGAAAAAAATATTCTACATCAAATTTCACTATGGATCAATGAACAATCGGAATCTGTAGCTATATTATATATCATGAAAAAAATCCGGATATTATTCTAGTATACAAAATAAGTTGGTCAATTTTGCTACTTTTTCGATAAGTGGCCAATTTCGAGCACAAAACTCCATTTAGGTCACCAATGAAAAAAAAACAAAATGAAATCTGTAACTATTATATAAACCATGAAAAAATCCGGATATATTTTGGTAAAAAAAATTATTTGGTCAATTTATTACTTTTTTCGATTAGTGGCCAATTTCGACCACAAAACATAATTTTAGCGGATTAATGCCAATGGAAAAAATATTCTGCATCAAATTTCACTATAGGTTACCGAACAAATGAAACCTGTAACTATTATATATATCTTGAAAAAATCCGCATATATTTTGGTATAAAAAATAATTTGGTCAATTTTGCTACTTTTTCGATAAATGACCAATTTTGTCTACTAAACTTCATTTTAGCTGTTTGATAGCAATGGAAGAAATATTCTACATAAAATTTCACTATGGGTCACCGAACAAATAAAATCTCTAGCTATTATATATATCATAAAAAAATCGTTATATATTTTAGGTCTCAGGTGATTTTTTTGCAGCGAAAAAAATTCCTCTTCTCATTCTTTTCAATAATGACCCAGTCTCTTCATTGTTTGTGTGTGTATGTGTGTGCCATTCGCTTCTTCTTCTTTTTGTGATGTTGCACTTTTTATTGTTGTTGTTCGTAATACGAACAATCAAAATCTCATTGTGCTAAGCGGCTAATGTCGCCTATCATACAGACAAGGCAGCTTACAAATGAAGATCATGGTTATAACAACAATAAAGATGATGATGGTGATCATGATCATATCAGAAAATGCTGAGATGGTTGCAGTTCAAAAAAATGAAAAAGAAGAAGAAGAAAACACAATGATAATAATTTTACATTGACCAAAACTGATCATGTTTTTATGTTTATTGATCTATTGTCAGCCAAATGCACCATGAATTTGTTTTCTTGTTGGAATTTTTTTTCATTTCTTTTGTTTTGTTTTGATTTGATTTGTTTGCTTGTGTTTTTTTCAACTATGGGTGTCTAAGAGGGGGAGGGGAAGGTTGTCAGGTTTTGACACCATACGATATCATCATTTAGGTAACTGATTATTGGATGTGATTATGACTGACATAATGTGAGGTGTTTTTTAATTTACATTGGAAATGAATGTCTTTTCAAATTCCCTTAAAAAATATTGACAATCATTCGCCAAAGGGCAAACATTTATTTACAGCTTTTATTGTGTCTGGCCACTATTGGTTTAAGGCGTTATTTGTTGTTAGTCTCTGCAACACATTGGTTAATATTTGTATTAGGTGAGGTTAGGTTTGTTTTTTTTTTTTTTTTTTTGTGAACATGGCCTATCAAGTTTTTTATGCAAATTAAATAGATGGGTAATTTAGAGTACAGGAAATAAATAATTTTTTTTTATTACGCCATTAAAAATATTGGATTCCAATTTAATTTTGTACAAGGTCACAACTTTCAATTTTGTTACAAAAAAAAAAAAAAATGGCCACTAATCGATAAAAGAACAAAATTGACAAAAAACAATTTTATAGCAAAATAT